ATGCAGTTATCGGGAAACGGGCTGGCGTGTAATCGATTGAATTCGATCGAGGATTTGACGATCAAAGCGTGCAAATTGTACCTGTGTTCTAGAATAATTTTGATTTTCACGATTTTCTAGTCGATATAGTTGAGGTATTTAAACATTCGTTGCTTCACTGTGAATGGATTTGTATTTTTCTTTTTTTTGGTTGTTAAAAAGGTAATTCTAAAAAAGGTTTTTTCGTAAATAGATATTAACACTTGCACGACCTACGAATTATATTTTCTAGAAATCTATTTAATTGGTTTTATTTGATTCTTTTTCAAAGTTTTAAAAATAGGAATTCTACGTTTTAACACAGATGGCTATGCAAATGTTAATGAGTTAATCCTTTACTTCCAACAAAATTAATAAAAAATATATTGAATTTTTTAAAAAGATTGTAGAGAGTTACAAAATGTATTTTATTATAAAGGAGATAGAACGAATAAATAACCCCTTGCGTGATCAATGATTTCTCCACTTTACACGACCGTCTGCAAACATTTTATAAATTTTATACGCCTATCCTCCTTATCTATGCCTGTACCTGTTCATATTTAAAATTCTTCCCGATATCGCTATCGGCGATAAATTAATTTTTCACCGCAACCGTATTTAATCGGTTTAATCAAAAAATTCCATCGATATATATTTAACAATCTCCCGTGAAACAAAAGAAGGTTTACTCTTGTCGCAAAATATCAAAGTTGAAAATTAATTCCACGCGCGAAATTTGCATAAAAATCCGATGCATCGAATAAAACAAAAACCTTGCCCTCGCATGCATGAAAATTATTTAAAATTAATAAATTTCATCTGAAATTAAAATTATTCAAATTTCGCCCGTCTCATTACAATTTCAAATAAATGCAAGATTGATAATAAAAAATAAAAAAAAAAAAAAGAAATAAAGAAAAAATCACGCGCGATCAATGCACAAGTTTAAGAATCTCTTGCAATTCGTGCGAGTAATTTCCATCCCTTTCGGGCTTTATCGGATCCAATTGGTCAAGCTCTTTCGCAACGACTTGCGAAATGACTACTGGTAATGACTTTCAAACGCAAGGGGTTATACAATGCGACAGGAAAAAGAAAGAGGAAGAGAGAAAAAAAGAAAAAGAAAAAGGAGGATTAACTCGAAGAAAGTTTTCTCAAACTTTCTGCTTTTAGGCAGAAACCAGTGTCTCACGGCTTAAGTTGGAAAGTTATTCGCGTGACGAGAAGAAATTACTCCCATATTCCTAGGCAAACAGTTAATCTGAACTGTAAAGCGGCGATCTGGCTACGAACTTTCCACCAAACGACCGGTTAATTGAGTTGTACCCTCGCGCCGGGAAAAACTTTATCGGGGCCAGTTCGCGGTTGATCCAAAACCGAATAGTTCTCGACGTTCTATCCAACTTAGGAAGGCCTATTGCGTGTACAGAATTGTTACACTATTGTTACACAGTCAAAGGTATGAGACCTTGATTATGGATCGATGTGTGAAACATTGTCGAGCAAATTACTTGTAATAATGTATAATCTAAACTACATACCAATTGCTAAAGAATTATTCTGTAACTTGTGTTTTCTTGCAAGGAGATATCGTTAAAAAAAAAAAATTACTAAAGTGTTTCTATTTTGTAAAAAATTTAATTACATGGTCACGTATTATTGGCTGGTAGCCAATAAACTATAAAGTGATGGGATCGTTAAAGTAGCTAAATAAGCAAGAAATGACAATATAAGTATAAATAAATAATCGATCGAAAAAATCTTGAATAAAAAAAAAATCCAATCCAATGAAATATTTGCAAAAATCAAAACATAAATTGGTAAAGTATAAATGCCATTGATCAAACAATTTTCAAATAATCTGAACTAGTGCAAAATTCTAAAACAATTCACTATCTTTTATATTCTATATCTTCGTCTATATTATTCATTGTTATTTGCGAACGATTCTCTGAATTCTACGAAATATTATTTACCACGCACCGATTTCGATTATTCCTTGAAAATTCTCGTGGAAAAAGAAAAAAGAAAAAAGTTCGTAAAGTTCCAATTATTTAAATGTTTCGTCGAAGTTTGCAACGTTGATCGCGATACGTTTGATCCCATCGCTACACACGTCGTCACACGTTATACCTGCTCGACATTTAACGTCGAGAGGACGTCACGCAAGGCGAATCGAGCTTCTGGTAGGTTGCGTGGAAATTAACGCGTCACGACTTCATCGGGTTTGATAGGATGTGCACCTAAATCCTGGAGCGAGGAGGCCGTCGACCAGAGTTAAAGCTCGTCTACAAACACGATTCGCAGTTAACGACGTGTCAGATCAAGCGCAAAACTCTGTTTTCGACTTTCATTACCGCTCGTGATGCCTTGCCAACGAGGGATACTAAACAGCGAAACTACAAACAGCAAATGTTCCACGAGATTCTTCTTGAAAGAGTCATTGACACTTAATCTCAATGGAGGAATAGTTTTGTATAATTAGAAGTTGCAAATATAGTAATCTTATTTTGTGTTTCTATTTTTAATAGAAGTAGGATAAATAAAGGGCTTTGGATAAAATAGATATATTTTGAATAATGTTATTTACAGATTTTATAAGAATTCTTCTTTTGTTCAAATTGTTCTATTATAGTCTCACAAAATCTCATCATTGATATATTATTTTTTTTTAATCCAAAGATCTTACTTATATATTTGACTTTTAAATAAATGGAAAATAAATAATGTAAATCTCACAAAACAATCAAGACAGAAGAAAATATCGTTTGTCTCACCGATCATTCAGTTTGCTAAAATAAAATTTAGAAAAATTTTCTGACATTCTAAAATCGTTTGTAGCCAGATACGCGCTTACACCGTTCCTGTCTTCAAGCGCAAAAAACTTTGCAAACCCTGTCGAGAAGCGATATTAGTGAAGCTGCGAAGTAACAAGAGCTGTTAGAAATTTTCCTCAAGAAAAAAACGCGCAGCATCAATCGGCTGATCGACCACCAGTTAAAGCGTAGCTACCTTTCATTGAATCAAGGCAGGTTTCCTGTGATTCATGTTAAAGAATCGGAACTGTAGTCGCAGCGTTAGGTCTTTCCGTACTGTTGGGAAAGAATAGAGGTGTCGTAAGTATACATCGCAGCTTTTAAAGTCTCACATCGTGGGTGGTAAAATCTAATATTTGCCTTATATAAAATAACCCATTCTGTATGGCCATAGAAAAATCGAAATGATCTAAGGTTTGTATGCACATTGCAATTTTACAGCGTCGTACGATTTGATAAATTTAAGATTTCTAATTATGCAATACACAATAATTAAATATACAATTTCTTTATCGAAAGTACAAGGAAAATGTCGAAATATCATAAAATATCATATATGAAATCGTTGTGACAATAATCTTGGAATTTAATTAATGATAGAAAGATAACTTTTTTGTTTTTTGCATGACAAGGTAATCATTTCGAGATCTCTGGCCGATGAAAGACAGAAGACGTGGCACATCATCGTAATCCTTTCAGCTCATCGTGATCACTGTAATCGTCGCACAACGTTATGTGACGGACATATACGCGACAATGAGACGATAAATTGTGAAATAGGGTGTGAACCATTGGTAAATGTTGACATAGTGACTCTGCCTGGAAATATAATTCGAGATATGTGTATTCATAGTGTGAATTAGTAACGTATGAAGAGATTCGCTCGAGTTTCGAATGGATTGCCCTATTTTTATTTGTGTATTCTTATGCTTTATGTTTCTTTGTTTTCATTGCTTTTAGCAGGCATGCACAACGAGATGAAATGAGGGGAAGGATAATGCGAGCAACTTAAAATAAAATCGTGCGATGGATGATGCATGAATGTTATCAATGAGAGACTAATTTTTATTACTACTGATATTAATAGTATAATTGTATAAAAGAGTTTAGTAGAAAAGTAGAAAAGTTTTAGAAGGAAAGAGTGCAGAATATAATACCTAAGAATTATAAATTTTCCTCTCAATTGTTGATTCCATAATCATTGATGGATAACTAAATTGCTAGTTACGGATAATATTAATTTTTATTTATTATAACTGGTTCTAAAATTCGTATAATTATTTTGCATTTCGATTTAATTATTATAGATACTAATAACTTGATGATTAATATTGCATTTCATCTTAATATCCAATATCCGATATTATAAACATTAATTTACATGTTTGCCAATTTTAATATGTTTTTCAATTGTACAGAGAATAAACAAATTTATTGATTTAAAACAATTGCAAGAATAATCACAAAATTTATTTATGAAAGATTTTAATTGGACCGATACAAAATGCAAATAACAAGTGGACAATCACAAGCAAAGAATTGAATTTATGTTTCATCATGGATATCATTTTATTTGGACATTCACTTACATTCGACATCACGAAAATGGATCAAAAGAAAAGAGAAAAAAAAGAAAATCAGGCAATATAGACAAGTTTTCAAATCATTATTCTGATTATTCAACAGGAATTATTTCCTTTCTTTCTTTTTAAATAAATAATACTACTCACTGCGCTAATCAGCGCTACGATTCCTTTCTTACACCACCTACTGGGATAATGAAACTTTTAGCAGGTTCACCAGCCTCTAGCTTCGCGCGTGCCACACGACAGACTGGTAAAATAAATAACTCGTTAAAATTCTTCAAACTAATAATTTAACGATTTCAGATAGTGAAGATGGATTGTTTTTCAAATGGAAACCAATGTAAGCGTTCCACATGTTCATTTGAATCATTTTTAATAATTATATAATTATAAGATGAATGTGAGTATGGTGAAACGAAAAAAAAAAAAAGATAAAAAGCTTGCATTGGATCAAATGGAAAGATAAGCATGCTGCAAAGTGAATATAAAGCAAGATTTGAACCTAGAATGATTTACTGTTGTTTTGTTGTCCTTATTTTAAATTTATCGATTCAATATTCGAGAATAGGCAAAAAACGTGCGTGACAATAAAAAAAAATATTTTTAAGTATATATCTCTAATACTAATACCGTTATCAATCGTATTCTTTATTAGATTAAACGAAGCATGACTGCACAAAAGCATGAACATCACAAACTCCATCTATTCCGCTGTTTACCGATGTTAAATAAGTTGTATATAAGCAATAATGAAAAGAAAAAGAAAAAAAAAAAACAACTTCAGACAGATTCATACCGTATATATAATGTCTATATTTTATACTCGACTGAAAATTGGAATAAATTATATGATGAATTTTCTAGGTACAACATCTTTCTAACATGTGAAATAGATCAGAATTCAATGTGGATATATGAAAGAGGTAATTAAATTGTATAAAATGTTAAAGAGATAAAAGAAATATCAATTGAAAATGGGTACATTCTAGGATCTCATAATTACCTCTATATCACTAGCTAGAAAAATAATAAATGAATTTAGCAGGATGAATGGATGAATGATGATGTGCTAATAAAGCGCTATGAAAGACTACGAAGCAGATTCGGAAGAATTAGAAGCATTTCGTCATATGATCTCCATGGTCCCCCATACAATTGCTCCCATCTAAACGAAAAATTAACAGTATGAATATCGCTATAGCATGAGGAAAAAGGAAAAAAACATCTTTTTAAAGTGAGAATCAAAAAAAGAATACGATTCCAATGTGGCACATATCTCTGGATAATAAATCATCTGTAAAGACTTTTTTCATTATAAATATATAAAATGAATAGAAATAATTTTTTAATTTAAAAATATGGATTTATACCTGAAAAAAAAATATTAATCGATTTATATAATAAATGATATCTCTGATGTAACTACAAGTTATATCAAAGATAAGAAATTGATATAATTGATATAATTAAATAATTTTTTTTATCTTATTTAAGAATACGAGCTCTTCTTTAGAAATACTTTGATATGATCGAAAATACGAACGAAATATTTAAACATATAAATATATTGTACTTACTCCTATCAATGTTGCGTTGTAAATGTGCAGCTACGCGATGTCTAGCGTCATTGAATTCCAAGTGAAGACCAAGTCGAAGCAATGTTGGATTTTGTTCCACCAATTGTGTAATTTCCATTTCAATTTTATTTCCCAATACCTGCGACCTCTATATATTAAATACAAACGTACAATATTAGAAATAATTGTGAAATATAGTTTTCTATATTTAATAAATAAATTAATGTTAAAATTAATAGTTATAAATATGCAAAATATTTTACCTGATTCGAACATCGAAATTCTTCTATTGACTTCGTTTTAAGCAATGCCCTGATGAGCCTTACTATCACAGATGGGCTTATAAAGTTTGTTTCCACACTAAAAGGTTGTAATTTTATTAGATTTGTAAAATAACGATTGTAGATATAATATAAAATAATAAAAGGCATTATACTAACTTGAGTACTCTGAGCGTCGAATTTTTTTCTAAGGCATCTGCCAATCTTTGTGCAGTCTTGTCAGTGAGTCCCACATTCGTTAAACTTAGGGATTCGAGATGTGTATTTATCTCTAATCCTTCGAATAATTGAATAAACTTTTCATCAGATATATTCTAAAAGATAACAAAATAATATTGAATAAGTTATAATCACAAATATTAAAGTTTTATGAGCTTGAAATTATTAAATTCTATATATTTACTTTGATATTATTCCAATTTAAATCAATTAATGAAACATCATCTTCTCTAACTTGCTTAATAGTAGCATCAACATCTGTATCATTGGGAGGTTCCATCGGGTAAGGTTTTGGTTGACTAGCTTTTGTTATACCATCCCAACCCAAACCAACAGGTTGGCCAGAATTTAATAGAGAAGCATGATATTGATCTTGATTCATCATAGAATGAAATCCAAGAATAGCTATATACAAGAAGATTACATAATTATATAATAAATAAATATAATAAATATTATAATATATAAATATATTTACCAGCAAGATCAATAATTTCTTCTTGAGTAGCATTAGATAATGCTTGTTCATATTCTTCTCCAAGATCAATAGCAATTTGTTCTTCTACTTCTTTTTCTTTTGTTGTTTCTTGAGGAGGTGGAACCCACTAAAAGTATATAATGAAAATGTATGTACATCATTAATAATTAAATATTTTATAAAAAAATATTCAAAATACCTTTTTGCCTCTTATTACACCAGGTACATAAGGTTTTAATTCAGGTCTGTCTGGTGTTTCCAAAGCTTGTTTGTTGATATGTTCAATGAGTTTCTTACGATTTAATGGCCCTGTAGGACTCTTGTCACATTCATAGCTACAACGCTGTGATGGTGGCATAAAGCTATCCTATAAAAAATATAATATATCAGTTGTTACATATCATTTAATAAAAATATATTAATTATAATTATCTTACATCTGGATCCACTTCCTTAGCTAGTATATTAATTTCTTCTGGAGTAAGTTGTGCCAATAAATCATCCACATCCACATCATCATATTCACTCAAATCCTTGCCATATAACTTTGCTGCAGTTGTCATTGTGGTTGTCTTGGTTGATGAAGATGTCTGGAAATTTTTCCATGATTTTTGGTCAACTAAAGAATATCTCTGTGACATTTTATTAATTAACTTATTAATGCGATTATTTTATAAAATAAGATATATTATAAAATTGTCTCTATTATTATTGCTAATGTATGTTAATATTCTAACACATTCACAATATAAAATTACACTATGTATTATTTATAAGACACTATTTTTTTAAATATGAAGAATCATTTCGATTCTTTTTGAATTGTTAAATATTTGTTAAATATTTTTATTAACGATTAGTTTCACTTTCTTTAAATTTACATAAATAGATACGCGTGAAGTTCACTGGACGATTAAAACAAACGAATGACAAAAACAGCCTTGAATGGACTATTACAAAGCCGAACAAGAAACAATGAATAATGTATATTTTTTCGTATCTAATATCAGCGATGAGGTATTTCGTCACGTAATACGTTCATCACTACGCTCAAGAGTACACGCAAGCAATGTTCCTGATCGAATGATCAGCAAATCGACAAGTTGCATTTAAATTCGGCAAATGTCCAATGCGGCTGATGCCCTTTGCCCCAGATAATTTGAGATCGATTTTCATTGACAACTCATTTGCCAAATCGACAACCCACGCTAAACAGAGGTTCGCGACTGTTTTCGAAAATATTAACATGTAAACGAGAATGAAACTTACTATTGACAAATCTTCTATAATAATCGGCTGTGCCGATGACAATCCTTCAATGCAAAATTAGGTGAATCGTTCGCAATCAAATACCTCACCCACTTCTCACGCAAGACGCACACTTCACTGACCAGTTCACCGATTGCGGCTGATTGCGGCAGCGCCCTTTGACGCTTATACCATATTTGAATAAAGAACGAGTGGAATGATTCAAATTATCTTTCGCAATTATTAATTTAGATTTTTATATGCTTGTTCGATACAAGATGATTTTTAAAATATAAGAAATATTTATTTAACGTTAATAATTATTTATAATAATAAAAAAGTTTTCATTCAATTATCAATTTAAACCGTTTGACATAAACGTAGTACAGTGTTAGTTTGAATGAAGTATATAAAATGCTAACCCATGGAGAAAGTTTCTGCGCGTCTAGCGTCGCGCAGGTATTGACGTTAATGTAGCAGCGATGGCGGTTGTTTCAAAACATATCCATATACGTACAAGATTCCCAAGTTGTGAAAAGTTAAGCAAACATTTACCATTTTTGGTTTTATATGAATTTATTCAATACTGTGTTTTAAATTACAAACAATTCTTTAAGAAAAAAAAACCACTTTGTGCTAAAATAATAAAATTGATAGTATACATGTTACTTTACAATAACCTCATTCACCGTCAAGAAATTATTCATTCTGACAAGATTATTACCCGCATCAACGTGATACTATAATTTCAAGTTCCGTGATTCAATAAATTGGTTATCCAATGAAAATCATCCGCCTGTTAAGGTGTTAAATAATCGACAATAACGATCCGATTATGACACAATATAACAGGAACAGTTTTCGACCGGAACACGCCCAACATCGTAATCGAAAAAAATTTCACGACACACGTGGACCCTCCACCGGTATGTAACATCGGGTTAATTAACGCGATAAATCAATTCTACTCAAGGTCGTGCAAAGACCGGTAATCAGCGTAGACGGTTAAGAGTGGGGAAATTCTGTATGCAAGGTGGGAGCGTGTTGCGCAGGCTCGAGATTCTCGGTCGGAAAAGACAGAGCGGCCATCTCTGTCGTTCCTCGGTCGTGCAGTTTTGATTAGAGAGCGTCTATCGCGCGTCGTAGCGCTCGTAGCGGCGACAGCCTCAAAAATAGCTGAGGCCTCCTCGCAGGCTGGCACACTCCCAACGGTCTATACTTGGACATCCCTGCGCCATGATTATTTATAGTGAGCGCGAGCGCGGCCACTGGCCTTCCCGCGAACTAACTAACCGCCTCCAAAGACGATCCGTCGCCCGTGACCTAGGCCCGCATTAATAACGATTACACTCCTGCGCTCAGGAATACGACAACTTAACCTCTCGCTCTTCTACAATGAATCCTCGTTTCGCTTTATCTTTTTATTTATACGACTTATAAGTGGTTAAATAATGGTTAAATAGATAAATAACAATTCATGTTAAATGAATGATCAAGATTGTAAATGTTATAGATGTCGCTTTAAAAGTAAGTCGTATTGTTTAGTTACATTCTAGTTTTCTTTGATAAATTTTTAAAAAAGTATCATTGTGTGAATATAAAATATAAAATACATATAAAATTAAATTGTATTAAAAAAAGAAGAAATATATTATAAATATATTTGTTAAAATTTTTAACAATAACAACAATTCTGTGTAATTATGTTGTTGCATAGAAATCGTAACCTAACCAAATTTATTGTTTATTCATCATCGTTTTCGCTCCATCGCTACTTCTCTATTTTCTCATACGCAATCCTCGACTTATGCAATTTTCGAAGAGGATGCAACCGGTATCAAATTATTACCACACTCTTTCCCTGGATATGACGCAATCGGGAACATCCCATTGAACAAGGTACACTCTTCTCTTTCAATGCAAATATTATTCGTCATTTCACCGTTGAATAACCGCGAAGATAATACAAACAAGACGATCAATTAAAATCTCAGCTATATCGATCAGATCTAGAATGAAACTTTCAGTGTTCCAAATCCGTTGATGTGCTCTCACTGCCAACGAGAAATCTGTCCGCTAATTAATTTGTACGACTTCCTGGCAGGTTTATTTCTGTGTAACCGAACGAAAACCACTCCGGCTTACTTTCACGGCCACGAAAAAAGGCGAATCATTTTCCATCCGCACGGATCATAATTTTGCGCCGCATAACGGACTCGTGTTGGAGAAAGAATCTTCGTGTGAAAGCTTCTCGAAAAAAAAGGAAGAAGAAGAAGAAGAAGGGAGAGTGAAAATAAAGAAGAAACAAAACGCAACATGGGATCGATCCTCGAGAATACAGGAAAAATTTCTATAATATCAATTTCACGCGCGAAATTTGGATGCCCACGAATGTCACTGTTTCTAATAATAACAGAAACAAAGCGAGCCTCTTGATGTTCGTCCAGAAAGCTATAATATATCGCATCGATCCTCGCGAACGTTTCATTCGATGCGGAGGAAATTGTTCGTGTCTCGTCCGTTTGGAAAACTTGGATCGTTTGGATCAGAGAGAGGAAAGTATACGTGAACTAGTTTCTAAGAAATATACGCGTTTACGAATTGTCCGAGAAAACACTATAAACTTAGGGTGAAATCTTTTAAACTGTAAATTTTTAACGATTCGATAACATTCATTATGATAATGTTGGAATGATATCGGTGAGAACAAACCTTACATATATAAATCTTTGATATAATAATTGGAGCAGCTTTTCTTAAAAAAGAATAGGAGAAATTAATAAAAGTCTTGTTACAGAGCAACATAAATTTTGGGAAAATATGCTAATAGATTAGGCATGATGTAAGACAGGAAGTTTGTATCAACTTCTCGTTTAAATCAATCGTGAATTGGCAGGAAGATATTTTTAAATGGAGGTATTAATAGTAGATAATTATGTTGATCATCGACTTATTTTCATCTCGTTTACACCTAATTATAAAAGCAAATCCATTTTCTTCATATTCTTTTAAATATAATTCCTTTTTTTTTTTTTTTACTTGTTTCAGATAGTCTACTTATATACAATCATTTTTCTCAGACACAATATAAATTTCCTATTGTTCTTGCTCTCATTTCTTCCCTCCTATTTTTTCAACTCGATAAGAATAAAAATGTCGAAGTCAAATCGAAAAAGCTTTTACCAAAAATAAAAATTATCGCTCAATCATTCAAACCATTAGAAGTTCTCGAATCTCAAATCAGCCTTTACCCTATCATCCCAAAACTCGTTGGCTATAAACGTACCCGGAACCCATGCCAACTTTGCATCGCGACACGATGCATTTGTTTCACCCCAACTGCGGCTGTCATCGGTTTCAAAACTTCCGCTCGCATTCTGCGAGTTGAAGTTTTTTCGCCAAAGTCCCGAAATTGGGTCGATTTCGGTATCGGTAATGATCGCGAAACAAGCGTCACAATCGAAACGATCCATCCTGCTTGTTGGCAACCCGTGCTAATGGCTCATGCCCGCAATTAGGGGCTCGTGTTTCCTCAAAAGACCGCGTAACGAGTCTACAAAGCTGGCATTTTCAGCTAGACGGCGCGGAATCCGCGACATCGTGCATAAAGGAGTTCGAAAGAAGCGGCGGTCGGTTTCCAGGAAACGCGTTTAATACACTTTGAACCAGTTACCATCAATTAACGTGACTTTACCGGGAGACGTAAATGACCTACTGTGTTAATTGACGCGGTTTTCAGTTGAATATGGGTATAAAGGTTGCATAAAGTGTACGTTTGTTGAAAGGAAAAGTACTTGCTTTTGTGTACCAGCCTTTGAGCTGGATGTAGTTTTTATTTTCTCTTTGAGTTCTCTGTTTCTTTATTTAAAAGAAGAGTAAAAGATCCATATTAAGTAGAGAAATAAGTAGAAAAAGACAAATGAATAATTTGATAATTAGGATTGACAGTGGGAAAGGATTGTAGAGAAGATTTGTATATGCATTCTATAGATTTTTGCATGAACATAGTTAATCAAGTTCAATAAAGATCAATATACAATAAATATAAATTTAAATAGTTCTGAAATTGCTGGGCAAACAACAAATTGATTCTTCAAGAATCTTCAGATCAGATATGAGTTATACTTATAATTTATAAAAAATTTTCTACACCTCTCAGTACACCTCAGGAATCTTTCTCAGGAATCAAGACTGTTGTACAATTTCTCAGAAGGACGTTGAGTTTTTATTAAAGTTTATCTCAAGGAAATCATAGTTATTAAGTCAATAAAATGACTCCATTAGATTTCTTTTTCATAAGAGAGAATCTCGTGAGAGGATCTTAAATGATTCAACCATTCATCCATTCTATTATACATATATATATATATATTACAAATTATAAAATGCACCGACTATGAAACGTAATACTTTAAGAAATTAATAATTCGCTCTATGACTTTCAACCTTTTTTGAATACCAAGTTACTGATGCTCAATTAACAAAATTAATTAATATATCATTGAGGTAATTACGAAACTTTGGAAATTAATTGGACAATTTGGAAATTAATTGAGGAGGTGTTGCAAACACCTGTGTTGGAATATATTTCAAGATGATACTCCACAAAGATCTCGTGTATTACTCGCATGCGTTATTGAGGATCAATGATATCCTTGGGAACGATCACAATTACACGCGTAATCGTATTTGCAAGTCAATTTAAAACACATCGAAATGAGAACAACAGGTTTATCTAAAAATATACGTAGTTTGCGATATAGCTATGTAAATATTAGATAAATATCAGATAATGTTATAGATTATGAAAAATTATGCGATGATTATTTTTATAATTTTTTAAAGTGTAATTCTTGAAATGTACGCTATATTCTTAAAGATAAAATTGTCCGATTTGAAGAATGCCTACAGTTTAAAAGACAATTTATCAATCCATATCGATTATAAAATATTGACTTGAGAAAATTGATAATAAATTGATAAATAAATATTTCGCGGAATTATTTGTTATAGAAAAGCTATCTCTTTCTTTTTAATCTTCTTGAATACTTTTTACTCGTAGTAAAAAATCATATAATAACCGCTGGTTTTATTTCACAATTTCTCAATAAGAAAATACTGTCATCATAGATTTGTTGTCTTCCTCTCCTCCTCGATTAAAATTAGAGTAATTTAACCACGATATACATTATTCCGTTATTCTCCAGGGAATCGTCTGAGATTTTTCGCGACACGCAATCATAGTTTCTCCGTGTGTTGCGTAGCACGCGACCGGATCGACTTAGATTTCTATGCATTCTAGAAACTCGAATTCTTTCGTGTCTTTCTCCATAGCAGAGCGATTCTCAGCTGTAGCAAAGATTTAAGATTAAGATTGAATCGATCGATAGAGAGTGGCAACGCGTTCGATCCCCTCAGCGAAAAGTTGACTGAAGGAGGAAACGTGGAGACCAAGTGACCGAATACAGAAAAGGAATTTCTCGACTCTTCCTGTTGACACCATTTTTTAATTTCTTTTCTAATTTCTCTGCACGCAGTCATTTTTAATTTACTTTCCAAAATCCGTCCGGAAATGAAAAGCTACTCTCGATCCAAATGCGCGTCTAACTTCGATCTTCGTTCAATTCAATTTTAATTTTCCAAATATACCTAATTTGTTTTAATTTGTTTGCCGAAGAAAGAAAAAAAAATCAATCTCTGATCTCGTATCTCTCGCCAATTCCAATTTCAATTTTTCAGATATCTGTCGGCAAATCAATTTCAAAATCAATCTAACGAAAAAAAAAAATTCTCGATCCAAACTCGTCTCTAATTTCAAAGCGCCATCGGCCATTTCAGAATTGCTGTTATGCAACCAACAAGGGTGATAGATTCGATCGGACAACACCGCTGTGCTACCTGTTGTTTCGCGAGATAGATAACGGCTAAACTTGTTGTTGCCCGGTTGAAAATAGCTCATCCTGCAACAGGAACCGTTGTTGCATCCGACACGGTTGCGTGGATTTTAACGACCGTTACTTTGCAAACGAAGCTCGAAGATCGCTACAAGCGTTCGAGATTTTTTTCGAAAGAAGGATACACGATCATCGCGTATCATTTCCTTTTCCTCCTTCTTTTTTTTTTTTTTTTTTCCTTCTTCGAGCTATCTTCTAATTGGTTTAACTTTGAAAAAGTTAATTGGCTCGTTATTGCAGCCTCGTGGCCAATTAATTATAACGTTTCACCGAGGAGGAATATGCTTGTGCTCGAGGGTGAAAAGTGGCGTTTTAGAATATATCGTTCTTTCTTCTTCTTCTATTTTTTTTTTTTTTTTTTTTTTTTTTGGATATTTGAACGAATCAGTCGAAGAAATTTGTGTACGATTTAAGATATAGCTTTATGTTGAAAAAATAGGGGATGGGATATATAGTTTGGATTTTCTCGAATTTTATATATCAAAAGATTTTAAATATTCTATAAAGATATTTAATTGTAATTAAGAAAAAAGGAAAATTAGATTATTCTTTCGTGTGAAATATATATTTCTAATCAGATTCTTTGAGTCTTATTTTTCAGAAAAGAAATTTCAATAAAAGTTTAAATATATTCTCAAAATTAATAGAATTGATTAATGAATGGGAATTTGGGATATTTCTCAGACTAAAAGATTAAAAATAGTATTTCTGACGGGATTAATGACAGGATTAAGTGCAATTAATATAACTTTTGGAAACAAGAATCGATTTCCGGTCAAAAGGATCCTGATTGGCGAGGGGCCAACAATTCCGACTTCAACACATTTGGCCTGTATGCAAAGGTCGTAATCGTGAAAGTTATATTTCTTTCGAGATCTGGGCCATCGTGTCGAGTTTTCAATCTCACCAGCAATTCAAAAAAACAAAAAAAAAAAAAAAGAAGAGAAAACTAAAAATTCTAAATGTTTTTTTCTCTTTTTTTCAAACGACGCGATGATGATCGCGCGAAAAAAGTTGGAACTTTAAATATTCTTCGAAATGACATTTAGATTTTCTAAAATTATTTCTTAAATTAAGTTTCTTCATTCCGTTGATCCATACTTTTAATGATTTTTTAAAAGTAAATAAAATCGAATCGAAGGATCCAATTGGTGGAAAATACAATAAAATAATTTTCATTTCTAAGAAAATATAATTAAATAATATATTGCCTCTCGGCGAAAGAAATAGAAAGGAATTTTCCAATGATATAATTGGTTTTACTGTTAATTCTCATTAAGTCATACGTTCTCCTTGGTCACGTCTATTAACGTGTTTTATGGGCGGAAGTGTGTCGCCTTAAATACTTAAATCGAAAGTTGGAACGATTAGTCGCAAGAAAAATACTCGTGAAAAAGTTTTCCTTCTTTGGACGAAGTAACTTTGGATTATTATCGATTTAAGATATTTAACGTATTTTATGTTCGAATTTTTTTACGACCTAGCAAAAATTGTTTAATTGCTGTAATATTAATATTTATTTTTAAAAAAGATATTGAACAATTTTGAGAATGGCATAAAAATTAAACGATATATCATAATATTGAGCTTATTGAATCTTATGTCTTTTTATCACTAATATTAATAGATTAACCTGCAATAATCTTCCATAAATATCGAAAAGTAAACAAGTGTTTCAGATAATAATGATGTCAGGCATTTTAAAACCAATAATCTTCTTGTTCAGGAAAAAATTTTTTAAAAATAATCGTGCTATAATACCAATTTATCAAACTAAATTTTTCATCATTTTCACAATTCAATTTTTTAACGTTCAGATATCTAACTTTATCTAAAAATCATCCATCTTTCGATCACTCGATAGATAATTTTTCAAATTACAGATAATAGATAATTTACTTCTCCCTCGATATTTTCAATCACAACATTTCCTAATTCCTTCCACGATCTTCGTTCCTTTATTTCCACACCCATCGTAACAAAAGAAGACTCTGTACACGTAAATATATCCCCAATCTATTCA